CAAGTTACACATGGTGAGAAGGCTGGCCACAGCTGAGGTAAGGACTAGATAAAAAGCCGACGGTGATGTGTGAAGAACAAGGAGGCAGAGAAGCAATTTGGCCTGGCCGGTGTCTGGCACTGACTTACAACGGCTGGACGTGGCTTTCTAAGCTGAGCCTGTGCATTAAAACACACAAAACAAACCAAGCCATCCTGACGTTCAGACTACTGCCAGATTCTGTGACTCCTGACCTGCTCCAGGAAGCACCGGCCACCATTCCTGGAGCACGATGCTCCCTGGGGTCTCTGGAAAGCATGCCTGGGCTGTGTCAGTGGCAGCAAAGATCAGCCAGCGGAGTTGTGCAGTGTCCTCAGTTCTACTCAAGGCCATGGTGCCTGTGCCCCGGGCTGAGGGCAGAGGAGCTGCTCCTACTGATATTTTAACAGCGATTCCAATGGGCTTGCAAACAGCATCTGTTCAAGGCTCAAAACCTTTGCTTTTGTAAGGTCCTCTCCCTCCGTAAGAAGGAAACGTGAACTCTGACTGGGGTGGTCTGTGGCTGCGCCCCAACCCCAGGCTCCGCCTATGCGGGCACGGGCCATCCTCCAACCCCCTGTCCACCCGTGCAGGCTGAGCACAGGGGCCGGGCACTGCTCACGGTGGGTCACAACCGGACGAAGCCAGTTTCTACTGGCGAACCCTCTGCACCCCCTCAACCCCACCACCTTTGCGACCAGCTGCTTGCTCCACATGCTGCCTCGCACAGGGAGCAAGATCACAGTGGAAAGGGAGTGAGCCTTCGGTCACTGGACTTGGTCTGGAGGACCCAGGGAAGCTCCCCACAGGCGTCATCCACCGCAGATGTGTGGACACAAGGGTGGCTCTGCTGGCCGTGGCGGCCTGAGGTGGAAAGGACACACTTGCCTGGAACAAAGCCACTCCCTTCTCTTTGGCCCACAGGCTCTTGGGCCTTTTCTGCCTTCACAACTAGATGGGTAACTGTGATCAGTGTTAGGAGAGAAGCCTCCCCCTGGCCCCGTCTGGGGTCTGAGCTCTTTTGGGGCCTGTGCTATCCCTCCTCTCCACACAGGCCAGCAGGTCTCAAGGAACCCAGGGTGCGAGAGGACTTTCAAGGCTCTGGAAGAGCAGGGCTGCAGAAACTGTTCTGTGACTATCTTCCTGGATGCTAAGGGATGCATGCTAAACATTACTGCTTTGAAAATGACAGCAAGCTGGAAGATGAACTCCACAGAGGCCAGCTTCTGCTACCTTTCTCTCCCTTCCCCAAAGTGGAAGGACAAAGTGATGAGCCCAAAACGAACAGGGTGGGGCCTGGCGGGCAGGGAAGCACGCCTGAGCCACTCTCCTCACACACATCCAAACGGCAAGTTACCAAACTGCAAACGCTGAGCTCAGGAGTAATTAAATCAAATCAATCTTGGGAAAAGAGCTTTAAATATTCAAAGTCCCATTAATCCTCGTGCCTTGTAATTAAATATGTATGGTAAGAAGGCTTGGACAAAAGCAAAATGTTCTCAAAATGTGAATTCTTTACATTCGTAGCATTATAATGTGTTCTAAGTACTGATCTCATAGAAAACTATGTAAAAAATTCAGTGAAGCGCATGTTGTAAAAACATGGCAGAAAGAATGTAGCTACAATCTCTGGCCATCCTGAGCACCTTATAGAAAAATGCGCCTTGATAAACATCTTCGGTTTTCAGGCTCCACATAATTTGCCCGGTGATAACCCTCACCGGACTTGTCCGGACTCTCCCCCGTGCTCACTCCTGCAGGCCCCGACGGGGTAGCCCCCGCACACGGCTTGAAGAGTCCTTTGCTTCTGTTGTCCTGGGACCCTCTCTTCTATTTTACTTCCTTATCAAAGCACATAAATTTGTGTCATCTTCCAGGGATAACTTTCTCTTTGAGCATCACCCACTGACGACACTGGTTTCCCCAACCTACTGTGTGTCTTAGAGGGAAGATATTCAATGTTCCAATCCTAAAAGAGAGTGTACTTGCCAAAACTCTCCCCGAACTGCTGCCGTGTGGTGTCTGAAGAGCCCCCCTCCCCTTCATGGAGTCCCACTGCCTCACAAACACCTGGAAAGGGGGCTGCAATGGGAATCAGCACGTCCATTTTTCTGATGAGGAAAATCAGAGTGAATGATAGGCAAATGGTCACACAGCAAGTAGCGTGAATGGCATCAGTTCTCTGATTAACTGCTACAGGTCTGAACCAGCAGGGCCCCCAGGAAAGGCTGTCACAACGTAGGCCAAATCAGCCAGAGTGTGCTCCCATGATTTGTCTAGATTGCTTGACTGGCTCTGTTACAGCTGTACTTACCAACTACTTCTTTAAAAATATATAAGCTGGTGCTATGGACTGAATGTCTGTGTCCTTGCAAAATTCATATGTTGAAATCCTAACACCCCTGACATGATGGTAACAGGAGGTGGGACCTTTGGAAGGTAATTAGATCATGACAGTGGAGCCCTTGTGAACGGGATTCCTTAGAAGAGACGTAAGAGATGGCTCTCAGCTCTGCCACAAGGATACCTAGAGAAGTCAGCAATCTGTAAACCTGGAGGTGGGCCCTCACAGGAACTGCCTCACAGGGCACCTTGGACTTGGACTGCCCAGCCTCCAGACTGCAAGAAATGTATGTTTGTTGTTTAAGCTGCCTAGTCTATGGTAATTTGTATAACAGCCCGAGCCAAGACTGTTGGGTGTGGAAAGCCTGTTGACAAGTCTTTCCAAGGTAGTGGTATCTGAGGTCATGGGAGCTTACTTGCAGAAAATCTTAACAAGATAAAAGCAGAGGCTCTAAGTATTCCAAATGGATTCATTACCATGGTCAACTGAATGTTAATCTGTCAGGAATACCAGGTTCAAAACCAAAACTAGAAATTAAGGGAACAAGTGAAGTTCTTAGAAAACAGAGTCTACTTGTATCTAATTTTTGGACAAAAGTACCGTAGGGGATTCTCATGCCAATACCTGTGGATCTAAACAGTATCTTAAGTTTCTCTTCTGCCCCTTGGAAGATTCTGAGGTAAGCAGATCCCATTCCAGAGGAGAAAAACACAATAGGTAAATGAGGAGAAATAAAGAATAATACTCACCTTTCATTTATTTCCCAAGCCCCCGGAGAAGAGAGAAGATGCATGAACCTACCCGTATTTCAAGGCCGTGAAGATTAAAGGGGCCACCTGCAAATCTTACAAACATCACCTCCATCAATCTTCAGGCAACCCGTGACACAGGTATCATTATACCCATTGTACAGAACAGGACACCAAGTTACTGAAAGACTGAGCTAGACCACATAGGTTATGCCCCAAACTCTTACTGTCATTTGGAAATGAAACCAGAGAGGCGAGTGGAGCAGTAAATAAACATCAGAGGAATGGGTATGTTTAATCAACAAAGTCTTTGCCTGCTCTGTATTGATCCTTTTCTATAACTGAGAAAACTTACGACACAGATTTTAACATCAAAAGTTTCTGCCTCATGAATCTCACTTCTGCACGCCTGCAGATATGGAACCTGACATGCTAGGTCTCAGATGGAGAGAGTGCTGCAGGTAAAGTGAGTGAGATGGAACTTCACCACTGAAAATGCAGGAAGCTCTGCCAAGCTTTCCTAGAACAGTCAGGAGAGTATTAAAAAAATTTTTTTGTTAACATTTATTCATTTTTTAGAGACAGAGGGTGAGCAGAGGAGGGGCAGAGGGACACACAGAATCTGAAGCAGGTCCAAGCTCCGAGCTGTCGGCACAGAGCCCGACAACGGGGCTCAAACCCACGAACCGCAAGATCACAATCTGAGCCGAAGTTGGATGCTTAACCGACTGAGCCACCCAGGCGTCCCTGGAACAGTCATGAGAGTATTAAGGAAGACATTCCTGCTTCAAGTCCTGGATTCCTACTGCTGGCCTGAGAGGACACCAAGCTTTCATTTTGTTAAAAGCACAGAACTGTGGGGGCGCCTGGGTAGCTCAATTGGTTAAGCGTCCAACTTCGGCTCAGGTCATGATCACATGGTTTGTGGGTTTGAGCCCCGCGTTGGGCTCTGTGCTGACGGCTAGCACAGAGCCTGGAGCCTGCTTTGGATTCTGTGTCTCCCTCTCTCTCTGACCTTCCCCTGCTCACACACACACACACTCTCTCTCTCAGAAATAAATAAAAAACATTAAAAAAAAAAAAAAAGCACAGAACTGTGTAAAAACTGAGAGGCACTGCCAGCAATGATTAGTCTTCCTTCAATTATTTTATGTTGGGAGAAAAGAGTAAAAAACTGTAACAAGTAGACAGTAAATGACGATGGCTGAGAACCACATATAATACAACACACTCACAGAGTCAAGAACTGGGAAGAAATGGAAGCAGAAGCTACTGACCAGCTCATTCCAGACAGATTGAATATCAGAGGAAAAGGATTTTCTGTCCTGGAGCTGTTGGGTGTACTGTTTTAATCTCAGAGATTTCTAATGAGAGCAAACACACCGTGCACATGCAACTAAGAAATACAAAACGCATAAATGAAGACAAAGTGCACCCCTCTGGTTTCAAGCCTTCATTCAGCGGTTTGTGTTTCATTCCAGGAGAAAATAATACACAAACTTAACAGATAAATGCTTTACATTTGTACAAAAAGAGCCAAATGCTCACACTGCACACAGTTTACCTTGTTGTTTTCACTTTACAGTGCATTTCTTACAGGTGTTTCCTGATCAGGACCTATAGGTCTGTCTTTGTTTTTTTTTTTGTTTTTTTTTTTTTTTTTTGGAATGAGTTCTATAAAATTTGTTGGCGACTCCAGCACTTTTGGGGCGCCTGGGTGGCTCAGCCGGTTAGGTGTCTGACTCTTGATTTTTTTTTTTTTAAATGTTTTATTTATTTCTAGGGGGGAGAGAGAGAGAGAGAGACAGCGTGAGCAGGGGAGGGTCAGAGAGAGAGGGAGTCACAGACTCTGAAACAGGCTCCAGGCTCTGAGCTGGCAGTCAGCACAGAGCCCGACGCGGGGCTCGAACCCACGAACCACGAGATCATGACCTAAGCAAAAGTCACACGCTCAACCGACTAAGCCACCCAGGCGCCCCTCTGACTCTTGATTTTGGTTTAGGTCATGATCTCGCGGTTTATAGGTTCCAGCCCCACATCAGGCTCAGTGCTGACAGCTCAGAGACTGCTTGGGATTCTCTCTCTTGATCTGTGCCCCTCCTCCATACATGTGCTTGCGTGCACACTCTCTCTACATAAATAAACTTTAAAAAAAAAAGGGGGTATGCTTTTGATAAAGTATGACGCAGGCTCCTAAACGGTTAACAGTTAATGTTACTGTGCAGACCACTGTGCCCTTTAAAGTAAAATCTAATAGACTCTGAACTTGAATGCTCACTGAATGAGGAAACAGAGAAGAAAGTTCAGACAACTGAATAAAGGAAATAGCCTTTTTTCACCAAGTGGATCTAGAAAGCTTAGGCAGTCTCTGATTCTGCTGTGGCTCCGTCCCTTGTGGAAGAGCAAGAGGGCAGGACAAGGAGACAGAATGAGTCCCGCATGTGCGTGAAGAGCTGCCGCCTGGGGATGCCTGCCCCTCCCACACAACCTGCTTCAAGCATCTGGCTGGTGTGTGACATACGGGAAAAGTGACAGGACTTACTTTCAGTTTTGAGAACTGTGACTCACCCCAATACTCTGTCAACTATGGCCGCATCTGTAATATTTAAAAAGAAAAGAGAAAGGCAAACCATCTCAAGACCAGGGCAGGGCACCTAGAAACCTACCTCCTCTCTCTGTTTGATGGTCAAGTGACCAAGAATTCCTCAGTTTCGTGAAGCTGTTTTCGAGAAAACTCAAAGCTTTGTGTCCTTTCAAAATGGGCTTTTGTGCTTTTCAACAATTAGAAAATATGATTTCCAAGTAGTTTTCCTCTCCTTCCAAACTTTCTACTAGCCACGGAGCCACAGCTGAAGAACTCTAGGTCCAGGACTGGACTCCATGCTCACTCATGAGTAAAAGAACGTAGATGTGCAGAGTTCATGGAGGTGGCACGTTGAAGGGGCAGGTGACCCATGCTGACAGACTTTGACTGTATTTTCTTTACTCACATCCTGAAAGTCCCTTTCTGCTCCCTGTTCCTCTGGAATCCAAGGTCGGTGTTGCTCAGAAGCAGGGTGGGTTTGGGCTGAAGTTCTCGAAGCCCACAGTGCTCACAGCACGGGAGATGGCGGCACACGGGCACCAGGCACGCCAGCCCAAGTGTCTTCCACGCTTGTCGAGAAGCACTACACAGCCCCTGCAAGCGTGTGGGGCTGGTGGTATCCTCGTTCCGCGGACGACAGGTGGGGGCAAGGGCCCTGGCGGGCTGAAGGTAGAGTTCAGCTCAGGACCCTTCTCTGATGACACTCCGCCTGCAGCCCTGGACGTCATGAGTTGGGTGAGCATGTGTCGTCCCGCCAAGCTTACCTTGCATGGCACAGATGTCTGCACGCGAACGAGCAGACCCCCCCAGATGAGACCTGGGCCCGGAGGCAAAGGGCTGACCCAAGCATGGGGCATAAGGTGCACAGCCTTGAGAGGATGAAGCCAGCCCTCCACACTCTCACTGGCGACCCTGCTGCCTTTCCTTTGGGCTCATGCCACCAGAGCAAAGAGCCTGTTTTCAAAAGGTTGTTTGGCCAGAAGAAGAGTTCTAGATGTTTTTATGTTCTGATAGAAAGAAAACCAATCCCCTTCTCTAATCCTGTGCACACACAGGGAGAGCACGGGGTGACCCACGTGAAGAGCATTTGCCCTCCCGCCAGGAGGGTCTCTGCTGGGTCAGCCTGTGGTGAAGGCCCACCTCCACCCCGGACAACAGAGCATAGACACCAATTTTGCCTGGCAGCGGTATTTTATTGTTATGACAGCGTCTTGTGACCCACTTTACTCCCCGTTCCTTCCTTCTCGGTTATAAGCAGTAATTAGTAATGTCAGCGTTCTGGCTGCGTTGCTCCAGGCCCATTAATAATGGAAGAGCAGGAACAGGATGGATGCATAAATGTACAACAGAGGTCTCAAGGTTAAAAGCAGTAACGCAGACAGTTATGGCTGGGGCGGGGCATGGTGGTGGTGATGGGCAGGTGGTCTGGGGAGGTGGCTGTGAGAGAAAGAGAAAGATGAAAACAGTGGGAAGAGGGAGATATAGCGAGAAAGAGAGAGATTCAAATCTAGTTTTTGAAATGCCCAGCTTTCCTTCAGGGCAATATGTATGGTAAGGCATAACTTCCTAGTGTGCTCGCTCCAGCTCGCTTGCTCGCTCTCCTGGAGGGGACACATGTCTCTGGCCACCTGGCAGGAAGTGTGTCCGTGCTAAGTCTCTGGCACTGGAGAGTTACCAGCGTATGAAATTGAGGTCAGAAGAAACGACACCAGTATCTTTCAAACGTATTTTCGATCTTCTAAATGAATTCTCTTAGAAAGGCAATGCCTGCTTGTTCAGCAGAACTGGTACCTTCCCGCTTACTGCTCTGATAGGAAAGTCAAGACAAGCGATGTGGAACAGGCCCCGGTCCGGCAGCCAGGCCCTCCCCCAGCGGATGACAGGGCCACGTTGTTACAGCTGCTCCCGTATCTCCACAAACCCCTACATCACAGTGGCCGCAAGAGGGGATTTCACAAGGTACAATACCCTACATTCCTGCAGAGCTTTGGAGAAGAACTGAACGACTGCACTGCAAGCCTGCAAATCAGGCCTGGAAAAGGATTAGAACGGCTATTTGAGAAATGCACATTTGGTGGGTGGGGGAGGGACTACAAAGCAAGGCTGAGCCCCATCCTGGGCTGTTTCAATCTCTACTGTCTTTTAAGCAGAGAAGGATTTACTACTAAACTTTTCATTTGTCCCTCACATAACAAAAGTGAGTGTTACATACTAGGAGCATAACAACTTTCACAACTAAGGGCAGACATTTTTAAAACCGGTCGTCATTAATGCTTAGGTGAATCAGAACCCATTCTTACTCGTGAGTCAGAAATAGTCTCTATGGGAAAAGGAAGCAGCTGGAAACAGTCTTGAATCATAACTACTGAAAGCTGTATTTATCTCCATGGGGCTGACTTCAGGGCTGAGGTTTTCTCACCGGCTGCGTGCTGTCCAGCAGCTCATGAGTGCGTGCCACAGATGGGGCTCCTGCAGCAAGGCCCGTGAGAATAAGAAAGGCAGGGCTGCCGAATTCTAGCTCTTTCGGTTTGCCATGACACCGCATCCCCTCACCTATAATCTGAGGCCATGCACTGTTCTCTGAGGGAGGTGAAGTCAGTCCCCATAACCATTTAGGAGAAATGGCTATGGGCGTGAAAATACACAAGCATAGTTTACAAATCACATTTCTACCTTTCTCTTCAAGTTCCCTTAAAGCCAACAAAACAAAATAAAATCCTTTTGCCTTAAAAGTTCAGAGGCAACTGGGCTGATGAAAGTGGGTGCATTTTTTACTTATTTTTATTATTATTATTTATTTATTTCTAGGAGAGATAGAGAGACAGCGTGAGCAGGGGAGGGTCAGAGAGAGAGGGAGTCACAGACTGAAACAGGCTCCAGGTTCTGAGCTGGCAGTCAGCACAGAGCCCGACGCGGGGCTCAAACCCACGAACCGCGAGATCATGACCTAAGCGAAAGTCGGACGCTTAACTGACTAAGCCACCCAGGTGCCCCATTATTATTTTTTTTTAATTAAGAAAGCAAGACACGCACAATTCCCCAACACCTCGCACCCTCACGTGCCTCCCCTAATGCAGTTCCTGGGGGCCAGTTTAAGAAACTGCCCTTACCCCCAGATTTTCTGTACATTTCAGCACACATCTCCTCTTGAGATCCAAATAGAAACATACCATACCCACCCGCCACTCTACACCTGGCTCTTTTCATGTAATACATCTCGGGGGCAGCTCGGTATTGGCACCACCACAACCATGTCATCCTTTTAGATCTTACTGTGCATGCCAGGAGTTGACTGACGGGAGCTCACAGGCCAAATCTGGCCTGCTGCCGATTTCTAGAAACACCATCTTACTGGATCCCGCCACGTACACTTATTCACGTATTGTCCAGGGTTACTCGAGAGATAGAGGCAGAAGCAAATAGCTGTGACAGAAACTATGTGGTTGGAAAAGCCTAAACTGTTTGCGGTCTTGCCCTTTATGGAAAAAGTCTGCCATCCCCTGGTATACTGCTGTATGGATGAGCCAAAATGTACTTCACCTGTTTCCTGCTGGTGAACACAGGCGTGGAAAATTCCTTACTCCTTAAAACTCCTTTTATTCCTTAAGAATAAAATTACACTCGGCAAATGCTGAGGATGAGGAAGGGAAGAGCAGGAAGTGGCTGGGAAGAGGCCGGCCTGAAGGTGCGGGCTTAAAGGGGGAACTTCGGAGTGAGCTACAACCTCCTGAAGTGTCACTTCCTCTTTATAGAGGAAGCAAGAGGCAAACTGTGGGTCTTTTGATAAGAGGAAATCCCCCTTTGCTGCATCAAAGCTGCTCCCTGTGTTTGTGTTTTTCTAAGTATGGCAAGGCTGCCCGAAGCACACTGTGACCAAATTAGGAAGTGAGTAGACTGCTGTCTCTAAGCTGGTCACTGCACAGCCAGGACGCCCAGGCATGCGTAGACAGTGATGGATGGGGTGGGAGAGGCTCCGTCCAAGAAGGAAATGTTATTTGCCTGAGCAATGAGCCTTGTAAGAATTACGCTTAATAAGAGTTAGTAAGTGTTCTGTAAGATGAAATTCACTTGCTGCTGACCAAAAAAAAAAAAAAAAGGCTTCAAGGGTTTCTACGAGAAAGACTGTGTGAGATAGACAGCAGAGACAAATTCTGGGGGGCATTATTCTGTTTACTCAGAGGGCAGTGAGTGAAAATCTTGAGAAGTACTAGGGAAAAATATATCAATTAGCTCTTTAACAGATTAAGGAGATATTTAGTTTTACACTATCGAGAAAAGAGAGTTTTAGACAGGTCGTGCTAAAAAAGCATTGTGCAGACGCTCCAGTTTACCACCGCCTATCCAATTGCTTTATGTGCTGCAACAGGAAGGTTTAAACTAATCGTACAGT